ACTCAGCACAAAAGTCAGGATCATACAAGCCATCATATTCCCTATTATTCCCATGGATGGATATGTGAGAGTTAAGAAAGGTGACAGGAAGAAAATTTGAGAGCATGTGTTTCTGGAGAAGAGTGCTGAGGAGGACCCCATGGAGGACAGCCAAAAGGACCAACAAAGGGCTCCTAGAGCAGACCAAGCCGGAGACCTCCCTGGAAGAAGGAGCCAAGATGACCAAAGGGAGGCCGTTGTACTTTGGACACATCATGAGAAGAAGAGAGGACTCTTTGGAAAAGACGATAATGCTGGGAAAGGTGGAGGGAAGGAGGAAGAGAGGAAGGCCACAGGTCAGATGGAGGGACTCTATTAAGGAGGCCACGGGTTTTAAGGGGTTGCAGGATTTAGGCAGAGCAGGGGAGGAAGAGGATCTTGGAGAGGTCTCATCCAGAGGGTCGCCATGAGTCTAAATCGACTCGAGGGCAGTTAACAACAGCAACAACAAAACAAACTTTCTGCTGACCGTTGATTCTCTGCAATTGTGTTCACCTAGTTCTGTTGCTAATCTGTATTTATGCGTATAAAATCTCTTTTATGATGGACACAGCAAGGAAATTGCCTTGTGGCCCATGATATATCTTTTATAATCCTTGGAGGAACATCATATAAGGATGGAGGAAGCTTGTTTTCTGCTGCTCCAGAGAAAAGGACACAGTGGAGCCTCAATGGATGGAAGCTACAGGAAAAGAGATTCCAGATCAAGATTAGGAGGAACTTCCTGAGGGTAATAAGAGATCTTAGATGGTGGAAGATGCTGATGCCTTGGAGAGTGGTAGAGCCCCCTCCTTTGGAGGTCTTTAAACAGAGGCTGGGTGGACATCTCTCAGGGATGCTTTGATTGTGAGTTCCTGCATGGCACCTCTTTCAATTCTATGATTCCATATACATATGATTCCTTTAGAAACGCAAACCATCATGCAAAGAGCTTGAGGGCTGAACGGCCTGTTTCAGAGCTTAAAACTAGAGGAAAAGTGTATTCATGAGAAATAACTGGAGAGGCAGAGTTAACGGCAGGCACCATCAACCCTCCTTTTCTTTTCAACATAATGTATATCCATCCCCTCCATAGGAAGAGCTGCTTGTCACACACTCTAAAAGGATTAAAAATGCACATCAAGAAAAGCTGGATTCTTCTTTCCAAGGCAATCATGCAGACAATGCATCATTTCCATGGATTTGGGCACCGATGGGAAGACTCAGTTCCCTTCTGAGATCGGTCACTTCTATGAGGACTGGAGGGACCTTGC